TTTTTTTTTCATCTTTTGTAGGACTTATCAGAGTTCATGAAAAGATTGCAGCCAATTTTAACACTTACGTTTTAGCACGATGCAAGGGTCGTACATACCTTCCGGTCGGGCGGTACAGCGCCAAAGTACACACAATCATTGTAATGGAAATGAGGAGTGTAGCAAACACGCTCCAGAAACAATGTGTCAAAGTACCCACGAATATTTAAAGTGTAGGAAACCAATTTGCTAATCAACGTGATTAGTTTTCTGCAAACGCAATGTAGCATTAAATCTGCTGATTTCAATATATTTCATTTGTAACATTTGCTAGACATCATATAGAAAATCACTCCGGCACGAGGTCCCCATTACCAGTACATGCGATGTAGTGTGGTATCATCAGGCGCCACCTGACTCATTGTTGCCTAGTTTGAGTTTTTTTTATAATCAGTGGGAGTGATGTAATGCGACGTACCATAACATGGGACGATTTATTTATTATCAGTGGGACTGATATAATGCGACGTACCGTAACATGGGACGATTTATTCATTATCAGTGGGACTGATATAATGCGACGTACCGTAACATGGGACGATTTATTTTATTATCAGTGGGACTGATATAATGCGACGTACCGTAACATGGGACGATTTATTTTATTATCAGTGGGACTGATATAATGCGGCGTACCTTAACATGGGGCGACAATGTTCATAATATTGACCACTTACGTACATGCGCGGTATCGTCAGTCAAGTACTCACTTGTTAACACCTTCTTTTAGCCGTGAATTTTTTTCTTTCAACAATGATCTGCCGCCAATAGACAGGCCATTGTTTGTAATTTAGCGTATAATCACGATTACTTTTTAGTACAAAAAGTCGAACATTTAACATGGCGACAAAGTGGACATCTTGCTACATTGTTACATTCCGATTTCTGCTCTTAATTTATTCATGCAGTTCCCCATGGAAACACATTCAAACGAACCACACAAATGCGGATCCTGTGAGAACTAAAATGTATTTCTCAACAACCAGAAGCACAACGTGCAAAGAAACAGTTTATTTGTTTATTTACTGAAAGACCAATAAAACTATTTTGTCTGCCTTCTACATTCTTTTCCTCTGTTGATTATCTTTCTTAATTCATTACGTGACAAACCACGAATGTGTATTCGAACCCTGACTAAAACGGATCTACGTGCACAGTGTCAATCACTCGGGCCATATGGTGCTTAGTACAAAGGTGGCGGCGAGTAAATGAAAAAAAAACGTCTGTTGCATTGTGTAAAATATGGTGTGAAATCGTGAAAATGCCCTGCAAAAGACGAAAAATGAGTTGTTAAACAAGATAGTCAAGCATTCGTTGTGCATTCAATATATTAACATTAGATATGAACACGTATCGAATATAATTTATACCAGGGCCGGATCGACCAAACTGTTTTGGGGCCGGAACGTCCAAACCAGGGCCGGAACGTCTTTTTTTTACCAGGGCCGCAACAAACCAGGGCCGGATCGTCCTGATACCCTTCTAGAAATACTGTACTCAACACTTACACTCATTGCTCTTTGAATGGCTTTGTCGTGTGGAATGTCGTCTGTGCCATCAATACTGCCAGCCTTCAAGGGATCGTATGCATTCTTAGCGATCGGAAACCACCTGTCTTCCGTCATACTGGATTATTAGTACGGACTCAGCTCAACCCGACGGCCGAAGAACGGTTTTTCAGATGTACCGTGTACTTTCTTGTTCACACATTTGCGTCCATTCTCGCAAAAATAACGTTCTATACATCGGTTTCTAGCTATTCAACTGCGCATATCGTCCACCTGATTCCATGGTTACAACTTGCAACAATAACAACGAAGTTTCGCCAATTTCTAAACATCAAAAGACACAAAACCTCATGAGCAAAACCTTCACATGAACGCCGCCATCTTGTTTGTATCCGGCTGAATGTTTATGTGTGATGTATAGAGGGCGCTGTTCAAAGGTTTTCTTGTCACTTAATATTTTTTACATTTTCATGCCTGGTTTGCGATTATCTTTCGTATTTTAGCAAAGTATAGTAGTTAAACTTCGTTTATATGATGATTACAACCATCATATCAATTATATAAAACAAATTTATGCATTAATGCACGTAGTAGTCATTGTATGTCACATTATGCTCGTTTAGCGACGTCACAGCTTTGTCGGATTAATTAATTTTATGCATGAGTACTTGGAGGCAAATGGCCGAGCCAATCCAGTCGTTTCGATTGGGTTTGAATGAAACGGATAATTATAAATATTATTTGCTTTCAATTTTCTCACTTGTAATTTCCTAAGTATAGTTTCTCAACAACTAAATACCTAAGTGTTTGAAGACATAGGCCAGCCTACAAAACAAACCAGCTACAATGTGATAACATGGACGTACTAGAGACGTCCATGGTGATACTATGCACTTGGCGCCAGGCTACTACGCCATTCATACACTAAAAGTATTTTTCGTCGTGGATATGCATATCAAACAATTAGCGCCACCAATATTCTTAATCACGATAGATAGTGTATTGTATCTCATTACTAGTATTTTCTGTTATAAAATACGACCATTTGATTCGACAGAGGGCGTTATACGCTGAGGACGTGACGTATCACTAATCGTTTCCATCATGAAAGGGTTTGCTTTTCTATCACATCTTCGTTTTGATGTAAAACACGACTTCACTAAATTAGACTTTACAATAAATCGGTCATCCAGCGACGAAACGCGTTTGCGAAGTCAAAGTGCCACACGCCCGGAGGTTGTGCAGATTGCAGACAATTTGAAACATAAACCAAATTTTAAAAGAATCTTCCATTTCACAATAATTTTACAGTTTAAAATAATAACGAAATTGCGAAATTTTGTAATAACCAGACGATGAAACATTAACTATACGACTATAAAGTATGTAGGTACAGATTTCGGAGAACTTTGTTCTGTTATGGCCTCCATCGGAGATCCTATAAACGCAGACCTAATTTAATTTC